TAAGAAATAACATATATTTTACTTAATCTCATTTACAAGTGTGTGCTTTAATTAGGGGTGTTCGCGGTTTGAATGTGGTTGGAAAACCTCTAATTCGTCATCCATCTGCTAAATTGGCGGATTGAAAAAAATCAATCCGCATCCATTCGCCAGATTGACGGATGTAGATTAAGCGGATTGGTGGAGTGGCAGATAGATGCGAATCGGTTTGGCAATTTAAATTTTTATAAATTTTGAACATAATACAACTTATCAACATTTTTCCCACATTCCCCTCCATTGATTTACACAAATAAATAAACTCAAATAGACCGTAAGCTCTGATACTAGTTGTTAGGAAAAATCTATGATTCCCCACAAGTAAATCAATCAATGAGAACAAAAACTAATGCGAAAAAATTAAATCAAAAGCAACACAAGAATTTTTACGTGGTTCCCTCAATGTGAGGTACGTTCACGAGATCGAAATCCGATTCCACTATCAACCAAATAAGTTCCAAACGATTACAAACGAGACACTAATGGTCTCACAAAACCACCCTTAGGTGAATTCCAAATAATCACAAATAAACAAGAGGAAAGACCTCACCAAATAGATGAACCAAAATCTTCAGAACTAAAGTTAAAGAAGATCCAAAATAATAACCTAAATCAACACCGAAAACGAACCAAACAAACTAACCAAATATTCACCAACTTATTCCATGCAAAATAGTGCACCAACTTGAAAAGAATCAAAGCCCCCAATATCAATGTTTGGCTGTGTTTCTTAACTTCGGGAAAAACAAATCAATTAAGGCAGCCACTGCGCCTCTTGCACCCAGCAAAAACGAAGACAATATATATATATATATATATTGTTGATGAATGAGCTTTTCAATCAAAATTCTAGTTGTATCCAAATTCAATTGGGTCTCTATAAATATAATATATAAAAATATATTATACCTAAACCAAGTCAAATTAAAATTCTTTAACAAACCAATTGTGTCTCACACTTCAATAAAGAGGTATACCCAACATATGAGACATTTAGTAGAATTTTTAACATTTTTAAATTGAGAGTAATCACACATCCAGCATAAAGAGAAGTCTTTTCAATTTATTTATTTATTTTAATCCCAACAAATTTATAGTAATCACACATCCAACATATAGACAAGTCTTTCCAATTTCGCTTATTTTTTTAAGTTTTAATTTTATTTTTTATTTATAAATCTTTCTTCTTTTTCTTCTTTTTTGTGATTCCAACCGAAGTTCATTTATGAAGACGAGAATTAAAGATGGGTGCATCATGAGAGCCTCCCTTTGGATGATGGTGACCTATCACATCCTTCTTTCCCTTTGTGAATTAAGTTACAAGCAGGTATATCAACATACAAGATATAATTTAGGATTAACTATAGAAATGGTTCTCAAGATATGCATTATGTTATACTTTAATCCACAATCTTGTAATTATTTCACACTGATTTCTAAAGTATATGATTTGTTACATTTTAATCCCAGACATTAATATCGTTCAAAATCAGTAATGGAATAAGGATATGTTTTAAATTTTAACTAAAAATGTAACAAAATTAAAATATTGGGGACAAAAATATAAGATAAGTGAGTAGTAAAATGAAACAAAATGCATATTTTAGAAACCAAAATGCTACCAAATGCATACTTTAAGACCATGTGTATATTTAACAATTTTGATTTTGTTGAGACTTCATGTAAAATTCGAAAAATAATCCCCCTTTGGTTATTGATTTTGAATGGTGCTAACACTAAGAATTAAAGTGTAGCAAATCGCATATTTTGAGGACCAAAATGAAACAATTACAAAATTACAGACTAAAATATAATAAATACTTTGAGGGATCATTTGTATAATTAACTTTATAATTACAATACTAACCACACGTATTAGAAATTGCAAGAAGGTTAGATGAAAATGGTTCAAAGAGTCCTTTTGCTTCGGCATATTAATTCAAATTAGATGGAAATGGTATAAAAAAAACCATGCTTGTTACAAAAATTATAATATTCTTTTACGGAGGAAAATATTTTAACATATGCTTTATTATTAACAAAAATGGTATTAAAAAAAAAACCATGCTTGTCACAACAATTATAAAATTCTTTTACGGAGGAAAATATTTTAACATATGCTTCATTGTTAACAATAGTCCTTACTTTCAGAGAAAGTACAAAAAAGTCATGATTAATAAATAGCTTTATTACTGTACGGGGAGCAAATATTCCGGCAAGCCCGTACTCCTTTCTTCCGAGCTCCGTTTATGTCCGATCACCTGCGAGCAAATAACGGTGAGCTACCTGGCGGTGTGTGGCCGGAAAAACCCTCCGACGATCAAGTTAGCACACACCTTAGGATAGAGAGAGAGAGAGAGGGAGGAGTGTTTGAATGTAAGAATTTCCTTACAAAATGTTCGTCTGTCCGCGTATGGGGGGCGCAGACATGCTTATATACCCTCTGCGCCCCATATCCACTCCCAGTCATTTCCTGACACGTGGCTTTGCTATCCCATCTGTCAGCGTAAATCTTGCTGAACATCACCTAATCTCAACTGCCTGCCTTCTCAGCTGGAACTCGGCAGCCAAGCTGCACTAACCTCGGCCGTGCTGTGCTTCATACCCAAGCACTTCACTGGCTAAGCCCAAGGAGGACCGGGCTAGGCGGCATCTCGGCAAAGCTTTGAGCCCGCGGCGCATCTCCTGTGGTCGGCCTTCCTGCCTGATCAAACGATTACCTCGGCTGACCACGCCTTTCCGGGCGCTGGTCACTCAGCTTGACTGGCTCCACGATCGCCTGATCAAGCAGCTCGGTCCAACCGAGTACTGTCTTGCCGAGCAGCTTCTTTCCAAACTGGGCCACACATCCTCGGCCCAAACTTTGCCCGACCCAAATCTGTCCGGCAAAACCCTGTCCGGCCTAGATCTGTCCAACCCAGTACCAGATCATTAATCTCCCTCTCAATTACCTTGAAGCAGCCACCTCCTCCACTATCACCTAGTTTATGAATAATTGGATATTGGCATGGAATTTTTTATTTTTAAAATTTCTGTCATGTTGTTACCTTGCCTTTGGCATGACAGAAGTTTAAAGATTTTCTGTTTTTTCCTTTATAAACATTCACAATCCTTGGATCATGTTAAAATTTTGAGATATAAAAATTTTAAAATATAATTCAACAATTATGAGTGTATTAAAGTAAGGAGTAGTTGAATCTAGGATAGAGAATTCTATTCTACAACAGGATGATGCGCCTTTTTAAAATAAAAATTAATTAATCTATCACATCTTATGGAGGAGAAGGGTAAATCAACAAAGCAACAGAGATTTTGAGAACAGAAAATTCAGTATCTATGATATTTAGCTTTAAAAAAGGATGAGCCTTGGACCAAAGTAGTTGGCATTAGCAATGCAAATACTGCTAACATTTTTTTCATTTGTAATTTAGAGTTTTTTTATTATCTTCCAGGGCATGACTTTCCAACCAAAGCTGCAAATTAAAGATTTAAAAAAGAACCTGCTTAATACATATTGAATTCACAGTGGACACAGCAACTACTACTTGCACAATAAGAAAATCAAATTTTTAATTTTTTTTTTTTTGATTGGCAAAATAAAATTATTAATGTGCAAAAAGAGTAGAGGGGTACACAGAAGACATCAATAAAAAGTGAGGCAAAAAGGAATCATTGCACCAAGAACATATCTCAACTAGTTGGCACATTAGCCAATGCCAATCGCTTGCTATGCCAAACAACCCAAAGAAAAAGAAAGAAAAAGCTCATTGAAAGGAGACGAGAATGTGAAAAACCAGTAAAGAGCAACATAAAGCACCGGGGGACCAAATTAAGCTGGGGATATGATCCTCTTCTTAGACTTGGTTCTCCTCACTTCTTTGATATGAAATAAAATGTCGTGAATAGAGAAGTTTCAATAATTAGGATTGAACTTGATCCAAAAGGCTGCTTGGAGCTTAATGTAGTCAATCATCGCGATCTAGCATGGTTGTTTGCTATCGAAGATCACACTGTTTCTACCAAGCCAAAGGAACTAACAATTGCATGGAAAGAGAGCCCCCCAAATGATGTTTTTGAGATTTTTCTAGTTTGAATTAAACCAGCAAAAGGAAAGTGAATGAATAGAGTTTGGACAAAGCCAATCAATTTCTCACCAATGAAGGATTGTAAACAAAACCAACCAAGATTTCTGACAGAGGAGAAGGATACGATCCCCAGATCTAAATTAAAACCAAAAAATACACGAGCTGATAGAGTTTGCTGGGAGGATTTGCCTTCGGATCAGAAGACTTTTAACTTTTGGGGGAGCCACATTCCTCCAAAGATGCTTACAACAATCTGGATCACCACCCAATAGTGAAAGTGAAGAAAAAGATTTAACCGAGAAAATGCCCTGTTTGTCAATTTTTCAATGTAAAAAATCTGATCTGCTAGAATGGGGACTGAAGTTCTTTACCAATTTTAAAAGTCCTCCAAGATTTTCAGATTCCCGGGCACTCTTTCATCCTAAATAAAAGATTCCAGCAGGGTCTGTCAGAAGAAAGAGAGAATTTTGCTGAAAGGGAAAGAGAAAAAAAGTTGAAGAAAGGATACACGCAAGGGGATGTTGCTCATCCAAGGGTCACTCCCTGATCCCAAGACTAGGTTGTTGAGAAGAACATGGCTAAATTCATGACAAAAGGCCAATCCTCAAAATATCCTTCCATAAACAAGAAAAATTAGACCTAAGTTGGTCGGAGGGTAGCCAACTATTAGGCCTTAAACCATATTCACTTAGCAAGTTGTGGCCTTGTGGGTTTGGTACAAAGAAAATCAAATCACATAATGAATGACCCTAACAAAACCTTAAGATCACTGGGATGATTCTATTTATGACAACAACATTCATCAGTAGTTCTATTACCATGTTTAAAACACAACCAAACATATACTACAGATTTTAAAGAAAAAGCATCGAGCAATAGATAGAAAATATTGATAGACCATAACCTCCTAGCTACAAGAAGCTGCCTAATTAACCTTCCTTTCAAGCATATGCTTCTTCTGCAAATAACAAAGTTTGTAAGTTTTATTTCTTCAACTGTCACATTTACTGAAGTTCAATATCAAATGCTGTCATGTAATGGGTTTCTGATATTGAGTAAAACATTGCATCATTTTCTTTGCCTAACAAGCTCTCCATCTCTTCATCATTTTCCCGAGCTTCAAAGGTCTCATGTAATTTCATAAGCCCATTGAGTTGTTCAGCCACTTCCTTCATTGTAGGTCGTTCTATACCGCTGCTGTTGAGACATCTCACAGCAAGCTCAGCCACTGCTTCAATTTGCTCACTTTCCCTCCTGTCAACATCCTCACAGTTCATCAAAACCTGAGAAATTTTTTTTTGTTCCACCGAGGAAATGAAATATTGAATGAAGTTCACATTTTCCTCAGGATTTCTTCGCTTAAGAATTGGCTTCTGTCCTGTCAATAGTTCCATAAGGACAACCCCAAAGCTGTAAAGGTCACTCTTTACTGTTAATAAACCTGTAATCAAGTACTCCGGGTCCAAGTACCCATGTGTTCCATGTATTTTGGTGTCTACAACACTTTGACCAAATGGAATCAGGACAGAAGCTCCGAAATCAGAAACTTTTGCAGTGAATTTCTCATCCAAAAGTATGTTCATGGACTTAACATCTCTGTGGATAATTGGTGGGTTAGCAAGCGAGTGCAGATAGTCGAGTGCTAGTGATATCTCTGCAGCAATCCTCAGACGATTTGCCCATGATTTTAGCATCGCCGAACGCTTGACATGGAGGTGATCGAATAGTGATCCATTGGAGATGAACTCATAAATTAGTGATGGGAACTTTGTCTCCAGACACAACCCTAAAAGCTTCACCACATTCTTGTGATTGACCTGAGAGACTATGCTGATTTCATGTTGAAATGCTTGCTTTATTACTTCTCTTTGGAAGTGTTTGATTTTAGTCTTGTCTGCTACATTAGGCTTCTTAACAGCTACTAGTGACCCATCTTCTAAAACTCCTTTGTACACTGCACCAGAACCTCCTCGGCCGAGAAGTCGACTATTATCATAGTTCTCAGTTGCCTTCACAAGCTCTTTTTCACTGAAGATTCTAATTTTTTGATTCTTTAACAATGAACCTCCATTTTGCTGGAAATTTCTATGTTTCTTTCTTCTCTTGCACTCTATCCATGCTACAATTATCATAAAGGCCAGAAATATGAGCATCCCACAAACTGCATTACAATGATTAACAAGTTTAGTTCCATATTTATTAAATGAAGTAAATAAAATACAGAGGATTTGCATGCCAACATAATTTTTTATGCAAAAATCTCATCAAGAGTGGTGGTGATACTTTTAATATGAAAAATGATACACACATGAAGTGGCAATGATATTTCCAAAATTATGAGCCACCAAAAAAATGAAGAAGAGAATTAGATTCAGAATTAAGGGGAAAAAAAAAAGGAAGGCAAATTGCACTGATAGTTCCTATCCTTTGACTCTTATTATGGCATTTTGATTCATGTAATTTCAATTGGCTTGATTTTGATTCTAAATTATAATTTTGTTTCAATTTCGTCTACTTAATTACAAGTTTTAGTATGTTTGACAGAAAATGCACATATAAGTAGTATACGTCATGTTTTTATAGGTAAAATTATAAACTTATTCAACTTAGTGAGTTAACCTCAATTAGTGACCATTTTCTATTAAAAATTCTAATTGATGTTATCAATTGAATCAAATTGACAAAAAAAAAATCTAAAATTAAGAGTTCAAATCTAGTTAATTGAAACGATAATGACCAAAATGATAGAAGGAACTAATGTAATTTGTCCAAAAAATAAATAAAAAAATAAGAAAATAAAAAGAAAAAATATTAGTGTTTGGAAGCTACCTGCAATTAGAGTAGTAACACGAAATCCTTGGCAAGCAACTTTGCCATCACCAGACATGCCGAGTGGGCAGTGGCAAGTGTAATTTCCTTGGGTATTCTTGCACGTCCCTTCGCAATGATATATTGTTTGATCCAAGCATTCATCTATGTCTGCAACATCAAGTATACCAATTCAAGTTTCAAAATTATGAAAGCAAATCCAACTCATCCCAATTAGGTTGGCGCAACAAGAATCGCAAAAACATGTCCAAGCACCTCCACAAAAAAAATAAACAAACAAGAGCAGAGTTAGTTAGATAGCAACAAACACTAGAATAAAATAAAATAAAAACAACAAAGCTGAACCATACATACTGCAGGCAGCAAGAGACACTCCAACTGCCAAAACTAAGGCCTCGTTTGGGAACATGCTAATTTAGTAACTTTTTGACTATTTGGCTAAAAAGGTAGATAAAAAAAACTTGTATGTTTGGGATGACTTTTTGGCTAATTACGAAAAGATGTGCAAAAAGTAAAGAGAAAAGAGAATCTTTGGCTTTTTGGTATGAGTTGTTGGCTTTTTGGCTAATTTAGTAACTTTTTGACTAATTGACTAAAAAAGTAAGTCCCCAAACGGGGTCTAACTACGAACATACACTTCCACCAGCCATAAATGCACTCCACTCACCTAAAGACCCCAAGCAACCAACCACATCTCTTGAAAATTATGCATCAGCAAACACAAGCCCTCATAGACAAATTTTGATGTTATGAAACTGCAAAAAGAAAATCATTTGCAGAAAATTCTTTGAACTTCGATTTTTCCTTAACCCAAAAAGCAATTCCCATCAAAATAAAATCTGGTAGACATTCCCATTGACACTGAATCTTATTAAATGCCAACTCACTTCTTACATTCCATATGGTTCAAAAAATAGTGAAATAAATCGTATCCCAAATGAAACTTTCCTTCTTTCTAATGTGGACTCCTTGCCACCAAGTCAACAGACCACTGATAGAACTTGGAGGTACCCATACCACACCCCACCACTCAATTCATGTTGCCCATATTTATATAGCCATTCCCAAATCCAGATACATAAGGAGGATTGTGTTACGATTGTCAGTATGTAAAAATCTTTGTCAAATGCCTTGGGAATATCAATCCTAATTAGGGCTGTAAAATCCACCCACCGGCCCATGGCCCACTTAAAGCTTGCCTAAGGACCATTGTGGCCCCACCTGATCAGATCCGGCTCGGTCCGAGCCTGAGCCCAACCTGAGCCTGAGCCCAACCTGGGCCTGGGCTGCCTGTTTTGAGGCCCGAACTGTGAGCCTAATCCGTTTGGCTTAACTCAAGCCCGGCCCACTAGCTTGCCCAAGGTCCACTCTAATTTCTGAACTATTTTGGTGGGAAAAGAACAGAAAATTTTGGTGGAAAAAAAATAAAAAATGGTTAGGCCCAACTCAAGCCCAAACTCAAGCCTAAGCCCAGTGGCCTGCCTAAGGCTTGGCCCACTAACCTAGCTCAAGTACCGTTGGGTCTAGACTTGGACCTAGGCCGCGATTTTGCGCTATTAGGCCAGCCTAGCTCGACTTGATTTTTGGTAGCAGCCCACTAGGTCTGAGCAAGGCCAAGCCAAACCATTTTTACAACCCTAATTCTAATATGGTGGTGAAAAATAATTCATGTAGGTAATCCACTTGATTAGGACATACTCAAATTTGTTTGATTTGGTATAACAATATTTTTTGCTTACATTTTAACTCACTAAAGTACATAATAATATTTTTTGCTTACATTTCTTATGACTAAGTACAAAAATTAGATCCCATTTGTATTTATTAAGAGTAAATTATACATCGTTATATTCATCACAACTTTTTCTTACATTCTAGATGTTGTATTAGCTACTGGACTTTAATAAATGACATGGATCCCCAAATGTCTATGATCTGAATTAGAAGGGTAATGTTTGGGCTTGTGGAACCTATTATAGGGTACTATTTCAATAATCTGGATCTTTATTTTGTAAAATTTTTCATGCATATCATTCAAAAAAAAAAAAAATTAAGTCAATTTAATATTTGCAGTATATTTAATTTATTTCATTTGTTATTAAAATTGATAAATTAGATGATAAGATAAAATGATAAAAATAAATGATGGTTAACATTACTCTGTTAGAAACATCATAATTTTTTGAATAATATTATATGTACTAATTAATATACTAACTAATATACCAATTGATGATGTGATATAATTTAAGAAGTTTTTAGAATTTGTAATGAAATTAATGGATGAAGTTAATAATAATATTATAACTAGTATTGATCCATTAATTAGTATACTAATTGATTTATGTAATACCGCCATAATTTTTTACATAAATATTTGTACAAAACTTCAATTTGTAATCATTATCTAAAGGGGATATGAGTACAAGACCTTTGCATCCTTGTGATTCAGAAAGGTAGGGGTTGCCTTGGTATCCAGGCTTGCACACACAACGATATCCAGGGCCATTGTTGGAGTTGACGCAGTTAGTGTTAGGTCCACATGGGTAGATCGAGGACGAGGCGTAGGACAGATCCATCGATTCGCATGTTTCTTCTCCTACAGCCCAATCGAGTACTGTCGGTGGCTTTCTGTCGACATTCGTGAGCCTTATGAGATCTATGGTTGAGAAGTCGAACCAATCTTTCCTGGCCAAGAAAATATAGTTGCATGGACTAAATTTGCTGGAATATGAATAATTATACACTGATTGGATACTCATGTCTAAGGTCTTGACGCCATTAGGGATTTGGGTTTGACAGCATCCGATCCCTGAACAAGGACCCTCACGGGTCAGGTTCACTGGATGGTAGCACACGGAGGTACACCCGTATCCAAACCGTGTGCCATCGGAGTCCGCCATGTATGCCACAGTATCACAACCAATCGCAATGAATCTGTTTTCAGTGGCAGAGAAGGTGAATGGTGTTCCGGTCAAGTTCACTTGGTATAACCAATAGTCTAGCCCAATCCAATCCATGTCGTAACAGTAATACGGCACGTATGTGGAGACTGTAACCGTGCCTTCCTCCACCGATATATTCAGTACCTGCAAGTCACCGAGTAGGAGCTTGGAAGAAGAATTCGATGACTTTGAATGATTGCATTTTAGCAGGAAGCTTTTGTTCATGGAACACCGGGGGTTTCCTATGCCGAAAGGGTAAGGGATGGTGATATTGCCGCATTTTTTAGGGCAGTTGGGCTTCTCCGTTGAAGTTGCCGAGGCTACTATCCATAGCCATGGCATTGGCAGCAACAACAACCAGCACACTATGTTCATTTTTAATGTTTCCCACCAACTTTCTTCTCTCAAAACTCAAATTTTACTTGTTTTTCAGCAAGCTTTTGCCTTTTTTGATGAGTACATGTAGAATAAGGACAATTTTTGGAAAAAAAATTCAATACATCACCATCCAAAAGTTTATTTCTGATATGGCGTCTTTCAAGCATTTACGACCACAAAAATAAAAAAATAAAAAATTTAAATTTAAATTTAAATTTAAAAAAATAAATAAAATAAAATAAAATAAAATTTGATTAAAAAATTATATAACCATTTTTTTAAAAAGAATTTATTAGAAAATCCTCTTTCAGGTACTTGTGTCTCATTTAGTCTATAAGATATTGTATTCTAATAAATCCTATTATTTTGGACATTTGATTCATCAAATTCTAATTATCATATTTGAGGTATTTTATGGACAATTTTACTATTACAAATATTTTTTGAACTCTTAACAATTTGGTGATGTGAATATTTACATTAAATAAATTTGATAATGTGAATATTTACATTATGAAACGTTTACACTATCAATGTGAACATTAATACGTGTTTTACCCTATTATTAAAAGGATTTTGGTAATTATGTCAATCATAGAATTTATTGGAACATAAGAAAATCATTTAGATTAGGTGAAACATAAGTAGGTGAAAAGAGAGATTTATGAATAAATGTCTCATTTTTTTTTTTTTATCAGTGTTTATAAAATGGGTTACTACTATATATAACTATTAAAATTTAATTAAATATATAACAAAGTTTACAATAAAAACAATGATCAAAATAATTAGATCTTAAGTAATAAATAAAAAGTGAACAAACTGTAATAAAATATCACTTGACTATCACCACTCTCACATTTTTAAATGCAAAATTGATAATCAAATTTGCATAATCTAAGTTATCAACTAAATCAATTTTAATGGATAAAATTATTAATTTATTTAATATTTCTTGTGACATAATTTACCAAAAATAATATTTAATCAGTTGAAAATTTGGAAAGTTTCTTTTTCTAAAAACAACGGTAATTGATATAATTAGTTGCATTCTATACATAATTCATATATTTGAGAAATAACCTTTTATTAGTTTTAAATAATTTACCGTATCAATAAATTTTGTTTTAATTGTTTTTGGATAAAAACAATTATTCTTAGTTTTAAATAATTCATTGCATCATCTATCTATTAGTTTTTAATTTTCACTGAATTTATTTTATTTTTTTGTGAGTTATTATAATAGCTAAAAAAATTCATTAAAAATCATTTTACAGGTCCAAAGTGGCATGCTGGTAGAATGTACCTAGATGACATGAGTTCAAATAGAGTGAGAGTGGGGTAGTGATGGTTCCATAAATTTTGATCATCTTATTTAAAAGGATTTGTGGGGACATACTCCACCCCCCCGAGAGATGTGTCTCACACTTCAATAAAGAGGTATACTCCAACATATTGAGACATTTAGTTAGAATTTTAAACATTTTAAATGAGAGTAATCCAATCACATAAGAGTTTTTGTCAACTTATTTATTTATTTTTAATCCCAACAAATTATAGTAAGTCACAACATCCAACATTAGGACAAGTTTCCAATTCGCTTCATTTTTTTAAAGGTTTAATTTTATTTTTTTATTATATAAATCTTTCTTTCTTTTCTTTCGTTTTGTTGATTCAACCGAAGTTCTTTATGAGGACGAGAATTAAAGATGGGTGCATCCATGAGAGCCTCCTTTGGAACGATGTGACCTATCACACTCCTCTTTCCCTTGGGAAATTAAGTACAAGCAGGTATATCAACATACAATATAATTTAGGATTAACTATAGAAAGGTTCTCAAGATATGCAATTAGTTATACTTTAATACCCAATTGTATTTATTTTCACACTGATTTCTAAAGATATTGATTTGTTACATTTTTAATCCCAGACATTAAAATCGTTCAATATCCAGTAATGGAAAATAAGGATATGTTTTAATTTTAACTAAACAAATTAACAAAATAAATGATTGGGGACAAACATTAAGATAAGTGAGTAGTAAATGAAAACAAAATGCATTATTTTAGAAACCAAAATGCTACCAAAATGCATACTTTAAGACATGTGGTTATACTTTAACAATTTTGATTTGTTTGAGACTCATGTAAAATTCCGAAAAAATAATCCCCCTCTTGGTTATTGGTTTTGAATGGTGTACACATATAGAATAATGTGTAGCCAATCGCATATTTTGAGACCAAATTGAACAATACAAATATTCAGACTAAAATATAATAAATACTTGAGGGATCATTGTACTAATAACTTTATAATTTACAATTACTAACCACACGTATCTAATTGCAAGAAAGGTTAGATGAAAATGGTTCAAAAGAGTCCCTTTTGCTTCGGCATTTAATTTCAAAATTAGATGGAAATTGGAAAAAAACCATGCTTGTTTTACAAAAATATCAATATTCTTTTACGGAGGAAACATATTTTCACACTTAGCTTTAATTATTAACAAAAATGGTTATAAAAAAAAAACCAGATGCTTGTCACAACAATTATAAATCTTTTACAGGAGGAAACATATTTAAACATAATGCTTCATTGTTAACATAGTCCTTACTTTCAGAGAAAAGGTACAAAAAAAAGTCATTGTTAATAAATAGCTTTATTACTGTACGCGGGAGCAAATATTCGGCAGCCGTAACTCTTTTCGAGCTCCGTTTATGTCCGATCACCTGCGAGAGCAATAACGGTGAGCTACCTCTGGCGGTGTGTGGCCGGGGAAAAACCCTCGACGATTCAAGTTTAGCACCACACTTAGGATAGAGGACGAGACGAGAGCAGGATGGAATGTTTGAATGTAAGAATTTCCTTACAAAAATGTTCGTTCTGTCCGCTGTAGGGGGCGCAGACATTCTATCATACCGCTGGGCCCCATATCCACTCCAGTCATTTCCTTGATCACGTGCTTTGCTATCCAAAACATACTGTCACGTAAATTCTTGCTGAACATCACCTAATCTCAACTGCCTGCTTTCTCACCTGGAACTCGGCGCACAAGCTGCACTAACCTCTGCCGTGCTGTGCTTCATACCCAAGCACTTCACTGGCTAAGCCCAGGAGGACCGGGCTAGGCGGCATCTCGGCAAAGCTGAGCCCGGGGCATCTCCTGTGGTCGGCCTTCCTGCTGATTCAAACGATTACCGTCGGCTGACCACGCCTTTCCGGGCGCCGGTCACTCAGCTTGACTGGCTCCACGATCGCCTGATCAAGCAGCTCGGTCCAACCGAGTACTGTCTTGCCGAGCAGCTTCTTTCCAAACTGGGCACACATCCTCGGCCCAAACTTTGCCCGACCCAAATCTGTCCGGCAACCCCTGTCCGGCCTAATTCCCAAAGCCCAGTACCCGACTCTTAATCTCCTCTCAATTACCTTGAAGCAGCCACCTCCTCCTACTATCACTCTTTTATGAATATGGATATTGGCATGGAATTTTTTTTTTTTAAAATTTCTGTCATGTTGTTACCTTGCTTTGGCATGACAGAGTTGAAAGATTTTCTGTTTTTTCCTTATAAACATCAAATAGGATATGTTAAAATTTTGAGAATAGTAAAATTTTAAAAATATAATTCAAACATTATGAGTGTATTAAAGTAAGGAGTAGTTGAATCTAGGATATGAGAATTCTATTCTACAACACAGGATGATGCGCCTTTTTAAATAAAAAAATTATTAATCCTATCACATCTTATGGGAGAAAGGGTAAATTCAACAAGCAAACAGAGATTTTGAGAACAGAAAATTCAGTATCTATGATATATTAGCTTTAAAGGATGAAGCCTTGGACACAAGTAGTTGGCATTAGCAATGCAAATACTGCTAACATTTTTTTCATTTGTAATTTAGAGTTTTTTTATATATCTTCCAGGGCATGCTTTCCCCAATACTGCAAATTAAAGATTTAAAAGAACCCTGCTTAATACATATTGAATTCACAAGTGGACACAGCCGCAACTACTACTTGCACATAGATCAAATATTTTAATTTTTTTTTTGATTGGCAAAATAAAATTATTAATGTGCAAAAAGAGTAGAGGGGTACACAGAAGACATCAATAAAAAGTGAGGCAAAAGGAATCATTGCACCAAGAACATATCTCAACTAGTGGCACATTAGCCAATGCCAATCGCTTGCTAGCAAACACCCAAGAAAAAAAGAAGCTCATAGAAAGGAGACGAGAATGTGAAAACCAGTAAAGAGCAACATAAACACCGGGGACCAATTAAGCTGGGGATATGATCCTCTCTAGACTTGGTTCTCCTCACTTCTTTGATATGAAATAAAAAGTCGTGAATAGAGAAGTTTTCAATAATTAGGATTGAACTTGATTCCAAAAGGCTGCTTGGAGCTTAATGTAGTCAATCATCGGATCTAGCATGGTTTGTTTGGCTATCGAAGATCCACTGTTTCTACCAAGCCAAGGAACTAACAATTGCATGGAAAGAGAGCCCCAATGATGGTTATTTGAGATTTTTTCTAGTTTGAATTAACACACAGCAAAAGAAAGTGAATGAATAGAGTTTGGAACAAAGCCAATCATTTCTCACCAATGAAGGATTGTAAACAAAACCAACCAAGATTTCTGACAGAGGAGAAGGATACGATCCCAGTATCTAAATTACACAAAATACACGAAGCTGATAGAGTTTGCTGGAGGATTTGCCTTTCGGATCAGAAGACTTTAAACTTTTGGGGGAGCCACATTCCTCCAAAGATGCTTACAACAATCTGGATCACCACCCAATAGTGAAAGTGAAGAAAAAGAATTTTAACCGAGAAATGCCTGCTTTTGTCAATTTTCACATTGTAAAAAATCTGATCTGCTAGAATGGGGATGAAGTTCTTTACCAATTTTAAAAGTCCTCCAAGATTTCCAGATTCCCGGGCACTCTTTCATCCTAATAAAAAGATTCCAGCAGGGTCTGTCAGAAAAGAGAGAATTTTGCT